TCTCTGTCTCTCTTAAAAATAAACATTAAAAAAAATTATAAAAAAATAACAATGCTTAATCATTATTCTTGGAAATATGACCTCAAAAACAAGCACAGGATGTTACAACAAGCATTTTTAAGAACATTATTAGGTGGTTATAATGTGGAAATCAACTACATGCAGATTAAGGGGGAAAATTTGCTAATTTGATGTTTACACAACAGGTAATTGAAGCATGGAATTTCTTATAACATCATACATGGGTAAAGCATTACCATCTTTCAAAAAACACTGCTTTCTTTCAAATAAGCTTAGACAACAAGCTGACAGGCTTTGGGAAACTGGTGTTTCAAAACATCAAGGAAAAATGTGAAAATAATGAGAACTCGTGCATGGAAAGAAGCTAACGTATCATTTCACAGAATTAAAATATGCATATACAAGCAAATGTGTATTTCATCTTTAAACCATGAACTATAGATTCAAGTAAACTTGATTTGCTTTTTAAAGTTATGCTACAGCATATTTTAGGCACTATCCATCACCACCCCTAGCTTGGCCTCTTTCCACTGGATACCAGTAGTATGCCCCCTGTTGTGACAAATAATAATGTCTCCCAATGTTTCCACATGTCCACTGGGGGGTGTCATCACTCCAGTTGAGAACCACTGCTCTAGACAAATGCTGTCAAATATCTGTCAAGTAACTTCCACGTTTTTCTTGATGTTCCATTGTTTAATTATCTGAAATCTAATTAAAATATTGATTCCTCTCTGGTTAAAACAGTTGGTTACTATTCCCATTATTTACTTTTCTATTAAATTTTGTAAAAATAAGAAATTTAAGGCAGTTATGAGTAACTGTTACTGAGGAATAACCTTGCAAAATATACATTTACCAAAAAGAAAGGAAGGCTTCATAGAATCAGATCCATTAAAGATACAGCAGTTGAAATCAATCTTTATCAGAATGGAAATATTAGATACTCTATACAAGTAGAACTATGCTGTTATGACTGCCCTACCTTCAGATCTTTTCATTTTGCTCAGGTTTTCCTTCTCTGAGCCAAACATCCTGTTTTCCTGGTCCTCATTAAACTTAAATGATGATTAAAACTACTAATGATGGGAAGTATAAACACGGTCAGTAGCAGGTAATCCAAATAGTCTGACCTCGGAGTAGATCTAATTTTTATCTTTTGCATTCTTCCGGATGTATGAATCTAGATGCTAAAATTTATGTATAGTTCCCAAATCTCTACAAGACAGATGGAGGGGAAAAAAAGAGGAGTACAAAATTACTTGAAGAATTTGGATTAAGGTTAAATACTCATTAAGGGTAACTGAATGTGGACTGTAATTTCTCCCATTTTCATGTGCTCATGTGATTGTTTATATCGGGACACAATAATTAAATACAAAACAGAATGCAAGACTCTCAATTTATAGTTTGTAGCTTAAAAAGAATCTCTTTATTAAACCTGTTACAGAATTCATTTTTTCAAATAGAAGTACAAAAAAATTTGATTGTCACCAAAAATGTAACCAATGAATGATGGTATTAGAAATTATTTTCCTTTACTGTAGCTTCTCTAAATTTTCTATTTTTTTCTATAATGAGTATTTTTTAAAACCACAAGCAAAAAATAAAAAATAAAAATAAATAAATAAATAAAACCACAAGCAAATTCTTTCTGCACTCCCTTTCCCCACCAATTTTATCACAGTTTGTGGCCTATCAAGTAGGATTTTTGGACAAGTGCTTACATTACTCTTGGTTCCTGGGTTTTATTTCAAACTATACTGAACTCTCCCTAATTTTTGTTAAGTGCATTTCCTATTAACCAAAATTAAAAATGTGCCCTTTGAAAAACCTGATTTCAGATGAAAATCTGTCTTGCAATTAGATACACAGAAAACGAATATTCTATGCAATGTAAGACAAACCATGGTTCTTACCATTCTATTTCCTAGTTTGATAAGGACTGTCAAATTTCTTAAAAGAGTACACACATACATTTTTAACTTGGCATTCCATGTTCAGTAAAAATCAATTTGATCTTAATTACTGTGGAATTTTGACAACTCTAGCAATGGCAAAGCTGAGTTTTATCTTGCCGTTATCTAGCAAAAAGTAAATACCATTAAGATTCCAAATGCTTAACCTGGTTAAAATGAGAATATATTTCAATCAAAAACATACCATCGGGGAAAAAAAACAGTATTGCTATCTAGCCAGGAGTTTCTCAGTACATTTCTGCAGGCCCTAAATGTTTAGAATAAATGTAGCATTCACATAATACTATAGTCCATGAAAAGAGTATATTCTTTTATTGTTTTTGTACATACATGTTGTTTCAACTTTCAATAATAAAATTCAATAAATTTGATTCCTCAATCATAAAAACTTGCTTTACACATTATGTACATGTTGCCAAAGTCTATAGCCATACAAAACATCACAAAGATTTGACTCTATGCATGGTGCCATCACACAGGAGGGAGCTAATCAAATAACATACATTCAAAGATTAAACTGTAGATACGCACAGTGTATTTGGCACTGTTTCCTTAACATTAGAACACCTTCCTCTCAGAGACAAGTATTCTTAAGCTTTAGTCCCAATATACCAGGATTTCTTTTATTCACGTCAAAAGCAGCTTTCAAACTCTATTGTAACAGTAATCAGTTTTAAGAAACAAAATACAACCAGAATTGGGAATGGATTCAAACACGCAAACTTTTTGCTATGCTCCAACCTGCCATCCTTAGAGTAGGTTTACTTTGATAATTTTTCCATTGTCAGGGGTGTCAAGAAGAAACAATTTAAAGACAAATACCTTGAGTACACCTAAAGATAACAGTTTGTTTAAACTTTAAGATTATCAGTTCTTCTTGGGAGTGCCCAGGGAGCCCTGATGATGTGGAACTTGTGATGATTTTGGCAGGAACTCCAGAATGACCAATGCCATTCAAATTGTGGAGACCATACAAGCAGTTAAACTCATGAGGAGAAGGATCTGGAATGCTTATATCTGAATTCAGAATCCTTAGCAACTTGTGTTAAGGGTCTCTTTCTAGGACTATAACAGACTCAAGTCACAGGTTACAGATTTACTTTGATGTGTAATACTACACTGCTATGAAATGGAAGGAGAAAATAAAAGTACAAAGCCTTAACCATTAAACTTTTAGAGACTTTGGCTACATCCCAGTGGGTAACGTTTGATTAACTTCATTTTACCAAAATTAAATCCCTTCACTTCAACCAGACCCATTAAATTTATTCATTGAAGCCATACATATTCCAGAATGTTTATAAAAGACACATACCATGTTTATAAAAGACATAAATTCAGTCTCAAACTAAGGCAAAAAACCCTCAACAGAACATGGATCACAGTACAGGGGAACAGAAATCAGAAATTGGTAAAGTTCAGGGATATGCTATAGTTTCACACAAAACTTGTAGCAATAAATTAAGACTTAAAAAAAGTCTCACAATGTACAAAGGACTATGAAGTGCAAAGTAATGTCACTGAACCAAAATTTAGTTTAATCATTTTATTTCAAGTGTAGTTTTTAAAATCATAAATGGGGTCTTATAGTCCAAAGTCCAAACATTTATTCCTCCTCAGAGCTTTAGAACATGACAAGCAACTTTAGACCTTGCTTTCCAAGCCTAGTCTTCCTTGCTATTTTTTAGACTTCTGAGACCTAGTATTTAAGCTACTCCATTCTAAATGTACAATTTTAGACAACTATTGTACACTTAAGATTTTTCTGAAAACAGTCCATCAAGTACAAAGAATGGTTTCTGTCCAAGGATCAGTAGTGAGGGAAGAAATACTAAACATCAAAAAATCATTTATTCATTTAAAAAATAACAGAACCAGTGCTGTTCTCTGTCATGAAAGAGAACATGTAAGGTTAACTTAAATTACTTTTGTAGACTTTGGTAATATTTTATTACCTACACAGGCCTCAATCTTACTTAAAGATCTTTTAGGCAAAGTTCCCCACCATCAGGATTTACTGAGTAAAAATCCTGGGAACTAACATAGACCTAAATGTGCTATTCCAAAGAGTAATAGGTTACTACTTTAGGGGAAAAAAGCTGCCTTGATAACTTTTCAAATGCTCTTTTAAATAGAAAGTTAACGGGAATCTTTTTTTAAACCAACTTTGGGTACATACTGCCCACCAAATAAAAAAGGGAATCAAACTTTATTTCCTATTTTAGGAAATTTTCCAACTTATAATCCTTTAAGATTATAACTTTTTCACCTTTTTTTGACTGATATTTAAATTTTTTAAATTCTACATTTCAATGTAGTAAGAGTTCTTTTTCAAATAATTTTCACAACCCAGAACACAGACATCAGAGCAACACTCACAAGTCACATTGTTTATCTATAATGAGATGAAAATGGACGGATATCTGAAAATAGGTATTCCCTCTACTCCAAAGGTGAGCAAACTTTTAACATGTGACCAACACAGAACTCCATCCCTCTGGAGATCCCTCAGACTCAAAACGGTTCCATTTAATAAGTCAATACATTATTCTTAAAAATTAAGTTTGGTCACTAGGAAAGACTGAACAAAAACGATTCCCCTCTGCTCAAAACAACCAAATAGCTCTAGTTACCCCCTCCTCTCCCCACAAAAATAGGGAAGTAGTTGAGGCTGAAGTCTTTAAATCTGAAATTTCAGCTCCTAAAACACTGCTGCTATTTGCTCAAAGTTGCAGATCTATGTATTTCCTTCTCCAATACTTCCCCCATTTATAAATTTATTTACACACACGCACACACACACGCACACGCGCGCGCGCACACACACACATATTCACACATACCCTTACTCTCAAGTAAGACACTTTTTTGTGTTTGTTGATAAATTATGAGGATTATGAACTAGGTGTGTACAGGGTTTCATAGGTGCTTTGTAAACATCAGAGTCACTTGGGTCCTTTTCTCCAAAAGCCTGAAATCAAATTACACAACCAGGGATCACTACTTTCCCAGACGCTGTTCACAGGCTGCATATTGACGAAGGGCAGAGAAAAAGTCCTCATAACTGATGTTTAGGTGGGAAGGCAAAGAGCTGAAAAGAAAGCACAGGGGGAAAAAAAGCAATTAGATGATACACTGTAATGTGGAGGGGGGAACCAGAAGGAAAATACCCCAAAAGACGTTAAGGACAGAAGAAAGTAAATGATAAACACAGAGTATGTCAAACCATTTCTACCAAATGACAGCTAAACTCACTGTGAAACAGTGCAAGTACAAAATAATCTCTCCTTCTTTCCCTAAGGAGAGAAAAGCAACTTGTAGCAAGACAGAGATTCAGAACCTGTATCAGCCGAAGTCTAAATCAATGCAGAACTGGAGACCTATTTGTAAGGATCTCATTCACGTTCACGTTAGGAAGTCCTCTCTGCCAGAGCGAAGCCCGCACTGCGTGAAGTGGTCTATGAAAGCCAGGCTTAGCACTGGCAGAGCAGCACAGCACCCTCACGCGACTGCATGTCGAAGCCACGCGGTGAGCAACCAACAAATGAACGTTCATCTCTACCATTTCCATTCGCTCAAGGCGGCAATCACAGTGCGATGTGAAGACACTTTAAGGGCAGAATGAATGTACAGCCAGAAGGTTCCCTGTTAGGTATTTTGAATACTTAGAATAATTTTCAATAATTGACATAAACAATTCTCTAACGTACACAGCTTTCTTGTGAGGCTTTGGGAATTCCAAACTGTACCAGAGCCAAACACCTGGTCAGAGTACAAGTCGCACTGGGAGCTCCAGGCACATACATCACAAAAAAAAGACTGAACAAACTTACCACGAACAGACTCCTGTCTGACCATGTGCTGGTTCTCGTAGCTAGGCTTTCTTTGTCCTTCCTTTTCCCCTCCCTAGCTTTACTGAAATATAATTGACTTATAAGCTTTTTCCTTCAACTGCCAAAAATTCTGAAACAAGTCTCCTTTTCCTCCACTTCCTTCTCTTATTAATCCTGCCATCAACCTTTTATCTTACTCACTCCACTGCAGCGATAACCTCACAAGATATCCTCAAACAACAAGTCAACGACACTCTTCTTGCTGAAGCTTGCTTCATTCAGATGTCCTCCTCAAACAACCCACTTGACTAAGTCTTTCCCATTTTATCCTCTTCATCAATAGCTTCGTCTCCTATCACTCAAGAAGCACTTAGCGCCACTACCTCCTCACTGCCCCCAAAGTGGTCTTGCCATTCCTGTCTGTTCTGTTAGGGCTCCACCCTTCTACTTCTCCATGTTATGGTTAAGACGTTAAGACATCAGGTGCTTACGGTCTGGTGGGCAGTAGACAAATCCAAAGCAAACCTTAATATAATGTGATAGGGCCATGACAGACACATGTACAAAGATCCACAGGAAAGCTTATTATGTGCTCAGTATCTGATGTCCATTATCTGACTTAAATCCTCAACTTCTTATTAAAATACCCATTTTACAAATACAGAGAAGTTTAAAAGCTATCCAAAGTCATGTTACTGAAAAGCATCACCAAGATTCAAACTGAGATGTATCTGTTCTAAAACACACTCTTCCCTTCAAACTACTCTCAACCTCACAAAGCAGCACTGCTACCTTTCTTGGAGCCCAATGCACAAGGCACCTGAAATTAACTCAGAAAACCCCTGGAGAAAAAGAAACAAGAGAAACATACACCCATCATACGGAAAACCAGAGTTTGGAGATTTGGGTTCTAATTCCACTTTACTACAAGCAATAGTAAGAGCTACGTCTCCTCCCCATTTTCCTCACGCCTACAAAATGAGGAGGCAGGACCATATGATCTACAGTCCTTTCTGACTCTACAATGCTACGGGTTCTTTTCTGCCTTTTTATTTGACACCTTTACCCTGTCTTGCCCCTGAACTTGGAGCATTTATTAAAAGGCCAAAAGATCCCGTGATACTGTGCTCTTCTATATACACTTGAGAAAGTTCCTCTATTCTCACAGACTCAACTACTACTACTTCTAAGTACTGTCAAACTCTAAATATACATTTTTTAGCCCCTTGACTTCTCATCCATGGACCAATTCTGCATCTTCATCTGCCCTTGTAAGTGTTTCCACGAAATAGACTATGGCTTTGAAATCATCTTATCCTTGAAATCAACCTTTTTTTTTTCAAAATCAATGCTCCCTTGACTTTGTAGTTTCTCTCAGTAACGTCATAATTAGGCTTAACAGCTTAGGAGTCATTTCATTTCTTCTCGGACTTTTAGCACAGTTGTAATTATGCTTGATAAATAATTCTCATTAGAGACAGAATTTATAGAATGTTCCTCCTAAGACTCAGAATTTAAATATATTTTAAGGCTACTAAGTCTCTTTAAAATCAGGGGTCAGCAAATACAGCCCATGAGCCTGCCACCTGTTTTTTTTTTTTAATGACGTTTTATTACGACACAGTCACACACATTTGTTCTGCGCTGTCTGTGGCTGCTCAGCTATACTGCCAATGCTGAGGGGTAGCTGCAAAGAGACTGTATGGATCACACATTCGCCAAAAATACTTACCATCTTACCTTTATATAAAAAGTTTACCCAACTCTGCTCTAGATAAGCAATTTCATTCTCCATGCTGTATTATGCCCTAAATCATAGCCAAGGATTCTTCACTTGTCTCTTTACCAGGTTCTTTCCCAAATCCGATCTATTCTAGTACACAGGTGCCAAACAAATCTTCTAAAATCACCATTTCCACACTACCTACAGGCTCAGTGGTTTCCTACTTCCTGTCTAAACCGTTATGCATATTCTTAGTGCTAGTACTTAAAACCTTCCCAGCATCAATACACCCAAATTATTTGTTTTCATCTTACAGAGCTGACCCTTCAACAACATGGGTCTGAACTGCATGAGTCCATCTGTACGCAGATTTGGTTTTTTTGATACAGTACAGTACTATAAATGTATTTTCTGTTCCCTATAATTTTCTTAATAACATTCTTTTCTCTAGCTTACTTTATTGTAAGAATACAGAATATAGTACATATAACACATAAAATATGTATTAAATTAGGCTTCCAGTCAAAAGTAGGCTATTAAGTTTTTGAGGAGTCAAAAGTTATATACAGATTTTGGACTGCACAGGGGGTCCACACCCCTAATGCCCACATTGTTCCAGGGTCAAGTGTACTACCATCTAATGTCATAATGCCAAATCTCTGTGCTCTGGTAGGGCCGGTTCCCTCACGATTTCTCTAAAATGAGATGTTCACTCCTCACTTCCCAGCTTTTCTTTTTTCCTTGTCCATCATCCCCTATACTTCTCACCCTTTCTGTAATTACAAAAATTCTATCCATTTTACATGCCCTGGAGTATGTCAGACCTTTTCCTTAAAATCAGTAACGATGGGGGCACCTGGGTGGCTCAGCTGGTGAAGCATCCGACTTCGGCTCAGGTCATGATCTCACAGCTGATGGGTTCAAGCCCCACACTGGGCTCTGGGCTGACGTTCAGAGCCTGGAGCCTGCTTCAGATTCTGTATCTCTCTCTCCCTCTCTCTGCCCCTTTCCCACTCACACTCTGTCTCTCCATCTCTTAAAAATAAACATTAAAGGGGCGCCTGGGTGGCGCAGTCGGTTAACCGTCCGACTTCAGCCAGGTCACGATCTCGCGGTCCGTGAGTTCGAGCCCCGCGTCGGGCTCTGGGCTGATGGCTCAGAGCCTGGAGCCTGCTTCCGATTCTGTGTCTCCCTCTCTCTCTGCCCCTCCCCCGTTCATGCTCTGTCTCCCTCTGTCCCAAAAATAAATAAAAAACGTTGAAAAAAAAACATTAAAAAAAAAAACCAAACAATACAACACAATAAAATCAGCAACCCTGACCCACAGACATATCTCTCTCACTCGTCTCCTATGAAATTTGTATTAATGCCAGATATTTGCACAAGCACTCTCTCTTGTGTCTGAGTCTTTATCTTACCACTGATACTGTGAAATATCTGAGGCAAAGGACCAGTATTGTAAGTCTTTCAGAATTCTCACCATACCTAGTACAGTGCTAGGCTCAAGAAACACTTGCTGAATTGAATCAAAGTCAGTACACTTTTAATTACTTACACAATCTCAGTCAATCTGATGTGCCAGGGAAGAAAGCCTAATGTGCTGTCCACAGGACCAAACTTCAGTACTAAATCGGGATCGGGGAAACCATCTGAACCTTATAAAGAAAGAAATACACAGGAATTTAACATGCATTGCTCACAAATAAAATGACCAAGGGCAAAATCTGTTCATCAAATTGGCTTTTTATGCTTTATCTGTTTTCTTCACAAGCTTCACTCATATGTTTCCATACCACCACCCCACTGCCCAACATATACTTTAGTATCTATGTTATTTCCAAACGTGAACGCTTTCTCTAAAGACCATTTGACTGAATGGATTACCTCATAAGAAGAGGTAAGCCCACTCCCATCCTAAACCATACAGACAGCCCCCAAATCCCATCCATCTTTCAAGACTCCAAAGTTCTCCTGGCACCCTGAGAACCATACTGCTTTAGGGGCACAAATGCTTATTCTGGCCATAGAATCACAGCACTTCAGAGATGAAAAGGAACCATAAAAGTAACTAGAACCCTTCCTTCCCCAATACCCCTTATTTTATAGCTGATAACAAAAAAACCCAGCTCCTAGCTATCTAGTATAAATGTTTTCTCCAGAGCTCCAGCCCAGGAAGGGAAAAGACCAGACACCTGCCTCAACAAAGGCATGGCCATTCAGTCTCACAAACTGGTTTCCATACAAGACCTGGTTTCAGAAAAAAAGGGGATAAGGATAGTTCAACTGCTTAAAAAATAAAGTAAAATAAATATTAAAATAGTCACTGGTAGAACAGAAAAGATGCTATTATCCAAGAAACCCAGGCTGCAACAGTTTCTAATAACCTCAATTCTGCCACTAACTTTCGGTTGCACAACCTCTCCGGGGCTTAGTTGTTTCATTTGTTAAATAAGGAGACTAGATTAGACAGGCTCATCCAGCAGTAATTAAGAATTATTTCCATAAAAAAGTCTCTTTAAAGTCCATATTGGTAAAGGTGCGTGGACTAAGAAGAATATATATTCCTTTGACTGCTAAAGAGCAAATTCTCTTTAGTTCAAAAAAAAAAAAATTAAATAAAAAATGGCAAGAAGGAATTTCTGGCTAAGGGTAGTGTGAAGAAGGTGATGAATCCTCCCCCCAAAAATATGTATTAAACTGACAAAACCAAACATTTAAGGGCACCGGATACTGGCCAGAAGCAGACAATTATTCTTTTAATAACAAAAAAATGAAACACCAGCTAGAGTTTCAGGTAAGAACGGTAAGGGTCTTTGTCTTTCCTGCCTGGGAACGGTCCTAACTCCCATGCCTCTACCCCCAATCAAATGGAAAAAATTATAGGTTTACCAGCATGGGGCTGATGGCAAAACTGGTAGATTGGTTGCCTGTGGCCAAAAGATATGAACTCAATTTGGAACTGGAGATTGTGCGCAGGAGGGGGCAATGATGAAAGCCCAGGGTTTTGCCAGCTAAAAGCACCAAGTGGCAAACTCAAAAGGAAACAAATGAGGAAAACACACAGCTTATTGGCTTGATGTTGTGGCCCCAGTTAGGGCAGGCAATCTAATGGTCAGAAATTTACCAGGCAGATCCTGAAAATAAGGGCTCAGCTAAGCCCTCCACGTACCCATAGCTGATGAGGAAACTGCATACATGCAAAGGAGAAAAGTAACCAAGGAAAAGTAACCAAGAAGACTTGAGAACTGGTGGGAACTCTGAACCCAGAAGCCAACATCATACAGATCAGGGGAGCCTTCCAAACTCAAGCTGTTAGAGCACAACCAGTGTGCAAATGACAGTCTGACACATAAAACTAGACAGACCCAAGAAGTGAGACTAAAACATAAAATTAAAAATAGAAAATTCGAGAAGAGGCAACGGGTGTCATCTTTATATACAGGCAACGCAACTGTATATTTAAAAAATCTTAAGGGGCAGGGTGCCTGGGTGGCTCAGCTGGTTAAACGTCTGACTTCGCTCAGGTCATGATCTCACAGTTTGTGAGTTCGAGCCCCGCGTTGGACTCTGTGCTGACAGCTTGGAGCCTGGAGCCTGCTTCAGATTCTGTGTCTCCCTCTCTCTCTGCCCCTCAACCGCTCACACTCTGTCTCTATCTCTCAAAAATAAATGCACATTAAAAAAAAAAAATCTTAAGGGGCACCTGGGTGGCTCAGTCGGTTGAGTGTCCAACTCTTGGTTTCGGCTCAGGTCATGATCTCACGGTTTGTGACCTCTGACAGTGCGGAGCCTGCTTGGGACTCTCTCTCCCTCTCTCTGCCCCTCCCCCAGTCTCTCTCACAATAAATAAACATTAAAAAAAAATCTTAAGACTCTGAAAATGAACTATCAGAACTAGGAAGTGAATTTAGCAAGATGGCAAAATACAAAATCAATATTAAAAAAAAACAAAACTACATTTCCATTTATTATTAACAAACAATCTAAAAGCAAAACTAAGCAAACAATCTCATTAATAACAGCATCCAAAAGAATAAAATACTTGGGAATAAATCTAACAAAAGAAGCAGAAATCCCAAATCCTGTTAAAAACTCTGTTAAAAGAAACCATATTAGGACCCAAATATGGAGACATGCTATGTTCATGGATTAGAAGACTCAATATTGTTAAGATGGTCAATCTCCCCAAACTGAGCTACAGATTCATTTCAGTCCCTACCAAAACCAGGTGCTTTGGGGTTGGTGAAGCTGATTCTAAAATTTACATGAAAATGAAATGTTCCTGACTAGCCAAAGTTGTTTCACTTCAAAAAAGAAAATCAAGGGGCGCCTGGGTGGCTCAGTCGGTTAAGCGGCCGACTTCGGCTCAGATCAAGATCTCGCGGTCCGTGAGTTCGAGCCCCGCGTCGGGCTCTGTGCTGACAGCTCAGAGCCTGGAGCCTGTTTCAGATTCTGTGTCTCCCTCTCTCTGACCCTCTCCCGTTCATGCTCTGTCTCTCTCTGTCTCAAAAATAAATAAACGTTAAAAAAAAATAATAATAAAAAAAAAGAAAATCAAAGTTGAAGGACTTTAAGGACATGATTTCAAAGTTTATCATTAGTAGGCACTACGGTAATCAAGACCTTGGGGCATTTGAAGGGACAGGCAGTACAGACCAATGGCAGAGAATAAGAAGTCCAGAAATAAATTCAAAGATTTATAGTAAATTAGATTTCAACACAGGAGTCACAGTAATTCAAGGGAGAAAAAAATGGCAGAAGAACAACTCAGTTTGTCTGCCTCACACCATTCACAAAAAGTAAGTCAACATAGCTCACAGATTTAAACAGAACAGGTTAAGTGATAAAAATTCTAGAAGGAAATAATGGTGACTTTGGGTTAGGGAAAGATTTCTTAGCTATGACACCAAATGCATGATTCACAAAAGAAAAAAATGATAAACTGGATTTCATAAAGACTAAATACTTTTTTTTTTAAGTTTTTATTTATTTATTTTGCGGGGAAGAGAGGGAGAGGCAGGGAGAGAGAAGAGGGAGAGAGAGTCCCAAGCAGGCTTTGCACTGTCAGTGCAGAGATCAAGGCAGGGCTCAATCTTGAACTGTGAGATCATGATGTGAGCTGAAATCCGGAGTCAGACACTTAACCAACTGAGCCACCCAGTCACCCAAAGATGAAACACTTAAGGAAAAAAAAGTAAGCCACAGATTGTGAGGAAATATTCATAAGTCATATCTTACTACTGAAAAAAAGATCTGTACCCCAAATATATAAAGACCTCTTAAAACTAAGACAAACAACCCATTAAAAGTAGGCAGAATGTCTTGAACGGATATTTCACCAAAGAAGATACAGATGACAAATTAGCACATGAAAAAAGCTCAATGACATTAGTCATTAGGAAGATGGTAATTAAAACCACAATAAGATACTATTACATCCCCACTAGAATGGCTAAAATTAAGAAACAAAAACAAAAAACTGACAATACTATGCCTTGGCAAGGACATGAAGAATCTAGACTCCTCTACATTACTGGTAGAATATAACAATACTATAGCCTCTTTGGAAAAGTTTGGCAGTTTCTTAAAAGTTAAACATTCACTCAACCAACACAACCTAGCAATTCCATTATTAGTCATCTACCAAAGAAAGGAAAACATGTCTGCACAAAGACTCGTATGTGAATAGTCACAGCAGCATTATTCAAACAAACCTAATGCACATCAACTGGTGAATGGATAAACGAAATGTACATCCACAGAACTGAATACTATTCACCAACAGAAAGCAATGAACTACTAATACATGCAACATGGATGAACCTCAATAATATGCTGAGGAAAGAAAACAAGACATTAAAGATTATTTTATATGATTTCATTTATATAACATTTCTGGAAAAGATAAAAGTATAGTAAAAGAAAAAAAAAGCAGGTATGTAGTTGCCTTGTATGCAAGTAGGAATGGTGAAGTTCACAATCATAAGCGAACTTTTGGGGGTAACAGTATTCAGGGGGTCTGCTTCTGTCAGATTGGTAAATTAACTTATGGACTGTGTACTTTTTCACTTATCGTGAGTTTGCCACCCCTGAAGGCAACACCTGGGCTCAAAACCTTGGCACTTCTCCATAGGCTCCCTGAAGGACCACCTTTGGTCCCTCTATCACTTTTAGGACACCCTCATAAATTACTCTATGGTTGGGGCCTTACAGAACCCAGGAAACAGTCAACATCCAGTAACCTACAATGAGTCCCTACAATGGTCTACTTTAAGTCTATTCATTCAGCCTAAATGCAGCCAGGCAATGAGAGAGAATACCAGAGTAGGGGAAGAAATGAGTAGTCCGTGAAAGACAGGAGTTGGTGAGACCGGAGGCCAGAGGGCGAATGTGCTGTATGATGAACACGTGTCAATGTGGAAGAAACAAGAATGGAGAGTCAAGTAAATGACTGAATTAGACAAAAAAAAAAAAAAAAAAAAAAAAAAAGCATGATTAATAAGTAAGGTAAATGGAGACCCTATTTGAATGAACAAAAAATGTATGTCTGAAATTGCAGAGCTATAGAAGCTATTAATGGACATAAACTTGTTAGAAGCACTGCCTTTCTTCAAAAGATCAAGGATGGGGTGCCTGGGTGGCTCAGTTGGTTAAGCATCTGACTCTTGATTTTGGCTCAGGTCATGACGTACGAGTCCTGAAATCGAACCCCGTATCAGGCTCTGTGCTGGGCAAGCAGCCTACTTACGAGCCTCCCCCCAACCCATCTCTCCTACCCTTCTGCCCACTCCCAAACAAAAGAAAATAACCCAAAAAACAAAAAAACAAAAGGATCAAGGATAATGCCAGTAAGCAGAAGGACCATAAAGTTGAAGCAAAAGGTTCCTAGGAGGCTCTACAGAGAATAAACAAATTAAAGGCTTTTATAAATAGTTGAAGGAAAAAAACCCTATAATGTTATATTTGGTATAACATGACAAATACAGTGAGTATATTTCATATCACATAACAGAAAGAACACTAAAAATAAAGTGAAGAATGCTAATAAGATTATATTCTTGGGACTGCCTCCTAAATAGCTGTTAAATTCAAACTTAACAGATAGTTCAAACTAAAAAGAAACAGTAAGAGGAGTGCGATATTATTATAAAAAAAATATGTGTTTGGTCTCTGTCCAGGTTCCAAGCTCCTAAAATCCTTGGAATTTCCTGAATGATAGGAGTGAGAGGAGTATCTTGTGTTATTCATAATAAGCCCCCTTCCACCACAGCTGAGTTTCTGTTAATGGTGACTCTGGGCAGGCCTCTGGATAGCTTTAGGATGGGAGCTAGTTGCTGGGGAAACCAGTCATGTGATTAGAGGGCTGCAACTTCCGGCCCTACCTTTCAACCTGCAGGTAGGGGAGAAGAGCTGGAGACTGAGTTCAATCCCTAATAGTCAATGATTTCATCAATCATGCTAACATAAAGGAACTTCCACAAAATCCCCTAAATGACAGGGTTCCAAAAGCTTCCAGGTTGGTGAATGCACTGAGGTGCTGAGAGGGTGATGAGCCCAGAGAGGTCATGGAAGATGACTGCATCCCCTGGCGATACCTGGCCCCGTATGCCTCTTACGCTGGACGGCTCCTGAGTTGTGTCCTTTATTATCAACTGGTAAACATAAAGTTTAGTCAAGTTCCTTCCTGAGTTCTGGGAGCCATTCTAGCAAATTAGCAAACCTTAGGAGAGAGTCAATAGGAACCCCCTAGTTATAGGTAGTTGATCAGGTGGCCTGTACAGGTGGCATGAAAACCGCAACTGGCATCTGAAGTGGGGGCCGTTTTGTGTGACTGAGCCCTTCAACCTACAGAGTCAAACACTATCTCTGGGTGGTTAGTGTCAGAAGTGAATTGAACTGCTGGACACCCATGTGGTGTCTGGAGAATTGAAAAACTCATGGTGTAGGAAAACATCCCACAGGGAAGCTGACAAGCAGAAGTCCGATATTCAAGAACATTCATCAGCCCCCTGCAAAAATCCTCTTATATCCTCTCCTTTACCAGTAAGTTCTCTTGCAAGTGAGCTGACTACAAATCTCATTATCTCAAAATCATTTTCAACATGTGGGGCTTCAAAATTTCAGAAACATTACAAGTGTAACAACAACAACAACAAAATCAGGCTTTATAGTGCAAAAGGAACCCAGATGCTCTCCTTCATAGTGTACCCTCGTAAACCACGTACAGTTGTAGGACACAACTGAAAACATATATATTTGTCTATATATGACTTACTAAGTAAACTGCCAAACATATCTACATCCAAATCTGTGGATCTCTTTTGCTGCTGGGCTACTAACTGGCAAAAGTCCTGAGCAGCTCTCACAATATCTGCTTTTCCATCTTCTGGGGAGAGCACCTTCACTGCCGATTGGCAATTTAAAACTGAAAGAAAAAACAAACAAGTTATTAAAAAAAAAATCCTGTTCCAGACAAATTTCAAAATCTATTTCAAGAAATATTAAGTTCAGACTAAAATAAAAGTATAGTTCTTATAGTAAACATGGATCATTTAAGTCCTTCAAATTGAACATCAAAACATACTTATCTATTCTCCTCTGAAAGGACCCACACATCACATTTGTGTGTGTGTGTATATATATATATATATAGTACCTTCCTCTCAAAGTACTCAAAGACCTTGTATCTCTGAATAAATCCTCTAGAAAATAGGAATCATACACTAGTTTACAATTTTCACTCACCTAAAATGCCATCTACAATCATAGTACAGTTAGCAGTAACACAAAAGATAAAAATGAAGAATATAGGGGAAAAAATGTGTTTCAATGAAACAGGCACTGTCTACCTTATCAGAATCTGATTCTGTGGGAGCTATTTTATAATTGACAGGATTCTAGGTACCTGACAGGAATGCCAAATTCTTGTCTATAGACAAGAATGCAAATTCTTTCTTGTCTGGTAGAGGTTCAATTATCTTCCCTCTAACCCAAAAGAAAAACCAGTTTTGCCTCCATTTACACATTCATTGCAATATTACTTACCTGTAAGTGTGTCCATCCTTTGGACTCTCTTTGAACTGGTTACAAAATCTGCCTGGTTCCTGGTTATTCATTAGTTAAATAAAATCTTTAACATGTGTGTATTTTTTAATATCTATGAAAGTCACGATTTTATCTTTTTCTGAAAATTCTTTGAAGAAGATGAAGAAAGAAAAGTCTAAATCTGATGATAAAAGAAGCGTGACAATAAAGACTAACAGCGCAAAATGAATGAATGAGTGACAGGACCTGCCTTGAAACACAAAATACATCTGTGTAAGTTAGATACTCAATTTGCTACTCACGCTTACCTTGATCATCTTTGTCATTACTATTCGCAAACTCTGGTGAATATTTGGAACAATCTAAACCCAGAAGTTCCTGCTGTTGTTTTAAAATTTCATCCATTAATCTGGAATTATTTCTTTTGAAAATACCTTAAAAAGAAAAAAAGCAAGTAAATCCCAACTAGGTTAATTTATCCTTTTCAACAATTAATGGATGTTTGCTGTGAAAACATCACTGCACCCAAAACTGAACAAACTCCACATGAAGCATTGCTGACTATGCCTCAACCGGAGTCTAAAAGAAAAACAAAACAAAACTCTGTTAACATAAGAGTCTGGAGTCAGGCTAAAATAAAAAAAAATAAAATAAAAAAAAAAAGGATAGAGGTGACTACTTGGAGCCAATATGAGTATGATGAAAAATTTACACCTAGAAGGAAATCTTAAGCTATCTTTTACTTGAAATTTTCATTTACAGATTAAGAAACTGGGACCCAGAGTCCTTAAGAGACTTGTTCAAGAATCTGTAACTGTGGCAGTGGCCCAGAGCCCTTATCTTGTGGACTCCCCGTCTGATGCACTTTCCTTGCAGACCCATTACACGCATTCAGTATTATTACTTCTATTTGATTCGTTGTTTTATTTATTTTTTATTTTTTTTAATGTTTATTTATTTTTGAGAGACAGAGAGAGACAGCATGAGCTGTCAGCAAAGAGCCTGACTGGGGCTCAAACTCATGAGCCGTAAGATCATGAGCCGAAATCGGACGCTCAACCGACTGAGCCACCCAGGCGCCCCAATTCATTGTTTTAATGGTAAGAGGAACTATTAAGAATTATGTAGGGACGCCTGGGTGGCTCAGTCGGTTGAGCATCTGACTTCAATTCAGGTCATGATCTCACGGTTCTTGAGTTCAAGCCCCGCGTCGGACTCTGTGCTGACAGTTCAGAGCCTGGAGCCTGCTTTGGATTCTGTGTCCCCCCTCTCTCTCTCTGCCCCTCGCCCGCTCATGCTCTCTCTCTCAAAAATAAACATTAAAAAATTTTTTTAAAAAGAGAATTATGTAGAAAATAGAGAGAATACACAAAAGTAACAAAATCAAAATTTAGTAAATTCCAGCAAAGCATGGAAATACACTACCTAAAACTGTTTTTGATCCTTCAACCATGCACAAAAAAAGCTAAAACTTTTAATGACTATTATGTCATTGAAAAAGATGAAGTAACTATGTGGCATAAATTTAACATGAAACTAATGAAGAGAGTTCTAACTAAAAACAAGTGACAACTATTTAGCTATTTTCAGAGGGGCAGCTTTTTTACTGGTCATTGCCTTTTCGATCTTTACCAAGTGTTCCTACTCTGTACTCTCAGTCAGATCTGACTTTAAAGTACTTCAAAGATTAACTGGGAAAGAGAATATAGTTAAAAATATATAAAATAACACAATCTGGTGAAAATGCTGTATACACATTACGTTGCTAGTCCATGTGTAATAGCAGTTCAAAGGTTAAAAAAAACTTCTCCTTTGGTAGGGAAAGCTTTGTAAAATAAGCAAGACTTGAGCTGAGCTTTCGAAAGTTAGAAAACTGAGCTTCAACCTTAGAAAGTTAAAAGCGATGGAGAGGATATTTAGCTTGGGAAAATGTTTAAGAAAAAAACACTGAATACTCAAAAGACAGACAAATGTTGCTGGTGCAAAGGATTTGAGAAAAGGGGACAGACCTAATTTTCATTTCATGTTGTCTACCAAGTGGGTAACCAACAATTTCTAAGCCATGTGGGAAGGTGGAAATTTATAACTTTAGGAAAACTAACCTGGCAACGGTATAGAGAAGGTCAGGCAGCAGAATACTGCAATAGTCCATTCGTAATTTGATGAAACAATGGAAGGAGTTCATTACAAAAGAACTGAGAGAATGAAAAGCATGACTTAATGAGAGGTGAACAGAGAAAATTCCATGGCATTAATCCTAGCTAAAAGAAAATAATAGCTTTTGTTTAAAGTGTGGAATTTCTAGCAGAGAACTGGTTTGAAGGAAAATATAAGCTTAAGTTTTAGACACCTGATGATAGAATATTTGGGCAGGGGTACTGAAAAAGTGATTAAGACACATGAAGCAAGGACATTCAAAAAAGGTCATATAGGGACGCCTGGGTGGCTCAGTCCATAGGGCATCAAACTCTTGATCTCATGGTCATGAGTTCAAGCCCCACACTAGGTGTGGAGCGTACTTAATCAAAAAAACAAAAAACCAAAAGAGGTGATATAAGCACTATGTGGGTAGAGATCTTAACTGTGTTTGCTCACCAGGGTCTAGCACAGTGCCTGGCACAGAACAGACACTCAGCAAATAAATGTCTGCCGAAAGAAGGCAACAGTCAGAGACTGACTAGGGGACTTAAAAAGACCTCTTTAGGGTAAGTGACATTTCATCCAGCCCATGGAGAATTAGGAGAATTCTACAGGGGTAAGGCTGGGAAGGTAACATAACAAAAGATGGGGATACAGACACACATTTGGGAGTCACCATCCTTAAGGTGAAGCCAAACAGACACACAAGAAGTGAAAAATAAGATCTGCAAAGGTAAAGAAGCATACGTGAAGAAGAGCAGGGGGCTAAGGCTGTGGCACCTTATGAAAGCCCACAGTCATAAGACCAAAAGCTAGGAAGTATAAAAGTGAACACTGTGTAGTACCCATATGCAAAGCAACAAAAAATACATAGTCCCAAAGACAAACAAAAATTTTAAAGGAAGGTAATTAATATCAGAAGCTATTGGAAAAACAATGTTGAGGACAGCAATACTTGTGCAACAATACAGATGTGTAGGATATTAACATTATGTTCAAGTCAGTCATAAAATTCACATGTATGACACAAAAGCATGTACTATAAGACAGCTACATGATACAGGCTTATTAATGTTACAAGACTTCCAGTTGTTTATGCAAGTAAAAAATAAAAAATGATTTAGACCACACTTTGGTCTATATCATAGACATAAATCATGGAAGGCATGCAAATGCAAGCTGGTGCAGCCACTCTGGAAAACAGGATGGAGGTTCCTCAAAAAACTAGATAGAACTAGAACTAACCTACAACCCAGCAATTGCACTACTAGGCATTTATCCAAGGGATACAGGTGTGCTGTTTCGAAGGGACACATGCACCCTAATGTTTACAGCAGCACTATCAACAATAGCCAAAGTATGGAAAAAGCTCAAATGTCCATGGATGGATGAATGGATAAAGAAGATATGGGGTGTGTGTGTGTATACACACATACACTGGAGTATTACTTGGCAATCAGAAAGAATGAAATCTTGCCATTTGCAACTACGTGGATGGAACTGGAGGGTATTATGCTAAGCGAAATCAGTCAGTCAAAGAAAGACAAATATCATATGACTTCACTCATATGAGGACATTAAGTGACAAAACAGATGAACTTAAGGGAAACAAAAATAATATAAAAACAGGGAGGGGGACAAAACATAAGAGACTCATAAATATGGAGAACAAACAGAGGGTTACTGGAAGGGGTGTGGGAGGGTGGATGGGCTAAATGGGTAAGGGGCATTAAGGAATCTACTCCTGAAATCATTGTTGTACTATATGTTAACTAATTTGGATGTAAATTCAAAAACTAAAATAAAATAAAATAATAAATTATGGAAGGCATATGAATTTCAAAAACAATGTAAAATCTCCACAACACTGCTAGAACATATGAACTTACTAGAATGTAGATTTATTCATTTTAATAGTAACCCACCACTAGGAACCCTTGCTTTTGTCTATTTACAGGACACTGATCCCTTCCTTCAATACTCCAAAGACCTATGCTTCAGTGCTCACTAATTCACTCATCTCTGCCTTAGCTTCCAGATTAAAATAGAAACACATTTCAGGAACTCTTGCTCTCTCCAAATCAATGGATGACATTCTTTGTCACCAAAATGGTCACTACCTCTTTTCAATCTGTATCCTTTCCTTCTCAATCTTTCTGAAGTGTTACCATTAATGACCAAGCTGCTCCATTCTCAAAATTCCATCCTTACGCCACAACTTGTCTAAACTCCCTTTCTTGGTTCTACTCCCAGCCTGCGCCTTGAATGGCCCCTTCTCCCTTTGCACTGAATCCTTTCCCTCTTCCCACTTCTAACTGGAAGATTACTCCGAGAGTTGCTATCTCAGCCTTCTCCTTCTGTCCATGTGCTCCTCTTTCTCTGAGTCTAGTCACTCATGGGACTTTAAAACCACTCAGGGCCAGGACAAGGGTGAGATAAGCGAAGCAAAACTTAAGTTGGCATCAAAAAACTCTAAGATAAAGAATAACGCATTATCTTCAACAACTTAATGCAAAAACATCCCATGATGAACAAAACATTAAAATTTTAGGTAAAAAACAAGGATCAGCATTTAATAATTCCAGTTCAGGGGCGCCTGGGTGGCTCAGTTGGTTAAGCCTTCTACTTCAGTTCAGGTCACGATCTCACGGTTCGTGAGTTCCAGCCCCGCTTCTGTGCTGACAGCTGGAGACTGCTTCGGATTCTGTCTTCCTCTCTCTCTGCCCCTCCACTGCTCATGCTGTGTCTCTTCCTCTCTCAAAAATAAATAAACATTAAAAAAAAAAAAGAAAATTCCAGTTCATTGTACCCAGAAGTTCTGTAAGCATCTGAAACATACCTAAAACATAGCAGCTGATCTTTTTTTTTTTTTTTTAATTTTTTTTTTTCAATGTTTATTTATTTTTGGGACAGAGAGAGACAGAGCATGAACGGGGGAGGGGCAGAGAGAGAGGGAGACACAGAATCGGAAACAGGCTCCAGGCTCTGAGCCATCAGCCCAGAGCCTGACGCGGGGCTCGAACTCACAGACCGCGAGATCGTGACCTGGCTGAAGTCGGACGCTTAACTGACTGCGCCACCCAGGCGCCCCAGCAGCTGATCTCTTAAAGCTAGTTCTCAGGGAGCCTGGGTGGCTCAGTCGATTAAGTGTCCGACTTTGGCTCAGATCATGATCTCACAGTCTGTGAATTCGAACCCCAGCTCTGGTCTCGCGCTGACAATGCAGAGCTTGCCTGCGATTCTCTCTCTCTCTCTCCCTCTCTCTCTGCCCCTCCCCTGCTCATACTGTCTCTCT